CATGAAGGGTCAAAGGGGAACAAACATGTGACTTTGGTGGGCAGGTCACCTTTTCTCTTAGCTTGATCTGTAAGGGGACTTACATTCCCCTTGTCCTGAAGCATTTGCAGTGCTCAGTGGATACTGAGAGTTCCGAGTGATTGCCCAGGAAATACTTTCTGTGGTTATTCAATCTGGAGAGTGCCTTTCTGTGGTTATTCAGCAGGATGTGTGCCTCCTGGGTGGCCTACTAGGGTAAGAATCCAGTTCTCCCACCTTGTCAGGCCTGTTCTGTCCCAGAGCTCAGTGTCCAGTGGGGATGAAATGGGACTGACTCTGGTGCATACAAACTAGACGCTACAGGAGAGGGACAGTGTCTTTGGTAGAGGAACCTCTCATGCAAGAGCCTGGAGCTGTCTTTGGAAGGACCTTGAAAATGATGTCCTGAGCCTGATGCGGTTAGTGTATATGTGAGAGAATCAAAGGGTCCTGACTGCCTTGCACCAGGAGGGGAGCATAAGGGTCAACAGTACTGGACCCACTGTGTACAGGCTCCAAAGAAGCACTATCCCTTTTCCCACCAAGAGAGAAATGAATACTAAAGAAAACAGGAATGAGCTGTGTCTGGGAATCCTCGCAGTTGGGGATAAATCAGGCAGGCTTCTTGGAGGTGGCTGTACTTCAGGCTGACCTTGGGCCACCTTGGGAAGGCAGAGCTTACCGGCAGAGTGGTAAATAGAGGTCACCCTCATATGTCACATATGAGGACATTCTCTGGATCCCTCCTGGTGGGTTTGTGAGAAAAATCCTGGTCACATCCCCATTCTGCACATGAGAAAATTGAGGCCCAGGAAGGTTAAGTCCCCTGCCTAAGGTTGGCTAGGTCCACAGCTTTGTGTCGAGAGAAGTGTTTATCCAGCTACACCTTGGGGTGCTGCTCAACCTGTCCTTGTGGACTTGCTCCTGTGGTCACCTTGGCATGCTGGGGTATCCATCTACTGATCCCTGCAGGTAAGAGAGTCACAAATATTTGAATGTTCTGCAGTGGGGCCACAGCCAGTGGTGACATGCCCCAGTGTGATTTGGGGACAGGATAGCAAGATAAACACATATCTTAGTACCTTCTCAGTTTTTGTAAGCTCTACCTTGCTTTTCAGCCCCTTCGGTGCTCCTCTGTACCTTCAGGATCGAGCCTCAGATCTCTAAAGTGATGGACGGGCTATTGACTCATCCCCGGGACTCTTAAATGAGATGTCCCCAACTCTGGCATCTTGTGCCTTCAAGTACTAATACCCATAAGTGTAAGGACTCACTGGTAGGAAAAGCCTGGTTTCAGAGCTGGAAGTGTGGATAAAGAATTCCCAGCCCTTCTTGGAATCAGACACAACCAGCAAAGGCCTATTTGTCCAAAGCAGGGATTTTGTTGGGTTGGAGGGGGATTCTCCATCCTGCAACAATTTCAGCAAAATAGAATTACATGTTGTCCTGGGGACAAAGTCAGCTTGAGCAGCAGATAGGGGTCCTGAACAGCAACCTTGTAGAAAGGTGATGACAGCAGACCCCAAAGCATCCATACACAGCAGCCTGGTGACTTGAGATGCCTTCTGTTTTCAGAAGGAAGTGGGCTCACAGAGGAGGGGAAAGGAAGTTCACACAAAGGTTAGTGACGACTCTAGCCATTCTGACTCCCGAGTCAGCTCTTATTTCATAGCAATACCATGCTCTGATGAGTGGCTGTCAAGGATTACAAGAAAAGGCAGGGACAAGAAGAAGAGTTCCTGGCCATAGAGGAAGGTGAGGCTGAACTGGGATCCTAGCCCTGTAACTCTCTTACTGTGTGTCCCTGAGCCAAGCACTCAACATCTCTGTGCTCTATGCCCCCATGTATCAGTGGTTAGCATGGGGTAAGTGCTTGGAAATGCAGCTGGATTTATGTCTTCCTGGGTTTGCCACTAGATAGCTAAGTATCATATGACAAGCCACTGCCTCTTCTTGGGACCTTGGCTAATCCATCAAAGGGTCCAACTAACTGATATCCACGAACTCCTTCTGTTTTAATGAGCTGTGGATCTAAGACTCAATGAATTCTCCAAGTTAAGGAGGAGAGGGGATTTTAATAATAGCAATGGCAATAATTCCGGCCATTTCTTGAGTGCCTACTACATGCTGGGAACTCAGCTAGGTACCAGCCCTCTCACCCTCCCATCTATCCAGTGAGCTGTTGGCTTTCAGTCTCTCCCTTACTTCACCCTGTGTACCGGCCAGTCTCAGCTTTCTTACACTCTTTTGTTTCAGCTCCAGGTCATTCGCTGGCTCCCCAGTGCTCTCAGAATCAAGCCCCAGTTTTGTTTCTTAATGTGGTGCGGGGGTGAGTCGCCCACTCAGACTCTGGAGTCCTGAATGGAATCTCACTGACTCTGGTGTCTCTCCAGTCAGTCCTTCCCCAGTGTCTCACACCTAGTAGGTGTTCAATAAATATTTGTTGAGTCAATGAATACACAGATGAAGCATTTCTCTAAATTAGGCCACACAAACTGAAATCGTTTGCAAACCAGCCACAAGAGCCGGGCAAAATTCTGTGTGCCATGTCTATTTTTATTTACTTAAATATTTTCTTTTTTTAGATTAAATAAGAGTATCTCAAAAGGAAACTTTACATCATATTGTAACTAAAAGACCAATATTACTTGCCAGAAATAGGTCGCCCTGAAAATGAATACAAGGTCGAAGCGGAAAGACATCCCATGTGTCCTAGACCCTGCTACCCACCACAGCTGGAGGTGCAGAGCTTTGGTGCATGTTTGCTGTTGCTCCTGAGAGATAAAAACCTCTGCCTAGCACCAAGCTGAGGCTCATCCTGGCCATGAAAATTCCCCTGACCACCTCTAGGGCCTGGCAGCTGACATTTTAGAAATGAGGTGTTACAGGAGCTGCCTTCAGCTCATGAAACGCCTGTGAGTTACCTGACAAATCCTCACTCAGACTTTTTATAAGGGTCTGGGGGCCCCACCTGTGCCTGTCTTGCCTGTAGCTATAGCACATACGCACACACACACACACACACACACACACACATACACCAGCCCCATGCTTTAGAGACGGCACTCAAACCCTGCCATGTTAAGATTGTGGTTTGACGCTGTCTGCTTAGTGGACATGCCTGGAGGGATGCAGCTAGGCTAGGCGGCATAGGGTTGAGGAGGTGAGGGTGTTGTGAAGAAAGTTTTAGTATCCAATAGGCAGCCCTAAGAAGCTGTCTTAACAGCCAGGAGCAGCTTCCAGTGAGAGGTCAAAGAGACTTGAAAAGATGAAAATAAAATCAGATAAAGAATATGAGGGAGGAAGGACTGGAGAGACGTTTCCGTTGTTAAGAGCACCAGCTTTGCTTTTGGAAGACCTGGATTTGATTCCCAGCACTCACATAGTGGTTACAACCGTCTGCAACTCCAATTTCAGGGGGCGCAAGCATTTCCAGGGGAAACCTGCAGGCACCAGGCACACACAAATGAGCATATCCACAAACAGACACATAGAATTAAAACGAATTCATCTTTTTAAAAGTAACTTGATTATTCGGAGAATCATTCTGCCTTCGGGCATGGCTGGATTAGAGGGCTCAAACAACATTCATCAGACCCGTTTGCCTTATTTCTGCTTTCCTCTGTGTTCCCTTATATCCAGGTAGGCTCTGTTTCAGGTGTGGCAGCCCCAGATTTAGAAACCTGTTGCCGATTAAAACTTTCCGTAAAAGTCCCATGTAGAGGTGTCATTGGCCTAACATCGGTCACAGGTCACATGCCCTTGCTTTGAGGTGATATGTCCTGACTGGAAAGGCTCGGGTCACATTCCCATTTGTGGACAGGAGCTCTGCACCCAATCATAAGATTGAGAGGAGTGCGGAAAAGGCCCTAACAGTAAAAACTGAAGTCCTGAGACCGGAAGACATTGACATGATCATCAGGCAAGGGAAAGCAACCCTCCTCCTTGCTTCCCTCCTCTTGCTCGAGGCCACACCCACATTTCCCCTGAAGCAGCCCACACCCCAGTGGCACTTCCATGAACAGACCTAACTCTCATCCCCACTTGGGCTGGGACAGCTCAGGGGTAGCCCTGGCAGAGCTTGGCATTCTGGGCTGGCGAATGGTTGTTCCAGGAAAACCTGCTTCTTTCACTTGCCACGTAAGAGGAGCTGTGGCCTGTGTGCCTACCATTGTGTCCCTAAGCCCAGACAAGTGTGTAACTCACAGGAGCCCTGGAAAGATTTCTTTGAAGTACACATGACACCCGGTAACCAGTCAGGGGGTGCCACAGAACGCTAAGCCTCCATGCCTGTGGAAGCAAGTGTGGAGAAAGAGATAGAAGTCAGGTAGCTTTGGGGAGTTGAGGCTAGAGACCCCAGGATGGATGAAAGTAGAGGATAGGAGGTCAGATACTAAATGCCAGATTCGGGAACAGAAATGGGGAGGTCACTGAAACTGTAAAGAACGATTTTTTTTTTTTTCCTGAGTCTTTGGGAACCGTGGAAAAGGCAGGCATCACCTTTTCCCCAAAGCCTTTATGGAAGGAGCCGAGACAGAAAAGGCAGCAGCAGACAGGAGAGGTGGGGAGGGGGCAAGAGTCCTACCCAGGCTCTCATAATGCCTCCAGGAAAGAAAGTGTGACCGAGCCAGAGAAACCAAGAGACCAATTAAGGCAGACCTTTGAAGACAGGAGACTGAAGGAGGATGGAGGCCAAGAAGAGGGAGAGGGAGCAGGGCTGGAAAGAGAAGGCCAGACAGAGAGGAAGAGAGAAGAGAGCAGGCAGGGAAAAAAGAGGGGCAGAGCGGAGGAAGGAGGAAGGAGGGAGTGGGGCAGAGGGAAAGAGGGTGCTAGTAGGAGGAGGGGAGCCAGGCAGGGGGAGGAAGGAGGAGGCGGAGGTAGGAGGAGGCGGGCGGAGGAAGGAGGGGAGCAGAGCAGAAGGAAGAGGAGAGAGGGAGCAGGGCTGAGGTAACTGGGAGAGAGGAGAAGGGGCAGAAAAGGTGGGAAAGGAGAAACGGAGGCTGAAGGGTAGGGGCGGGCAAGACGGCGCGGACAAGCCCCGCCTAGTGGGCGTGTCTTGACAGCCCCGCCCCCTCCGCCCGCCCTCGGAGCCCTAGCGAGCTGAGAGGTTGCAGGCGAGCTGAGCGAGCCCAGGAGCCTAGGAGCCCAGGCGCCCGCGTCCTAGCGCGGCCGAGCCCGGAGCGGCCCGCGCAGCCCCGGCTGCAGGTAGGAGGGGAGGCTGGCGTCGGGGCGCTGGGTGGAGGGCGGGCCCCTAGGCTGCAGCGCCTTCCCCCCCCCCCATCCCGTCCTCGCCCCCGACGTGCGCCGGCTGCAGCCCAGGGATGTTCCGGAGACAGGAGGGCCGCAGGAGGCCAGATGCCGTCGACGACCTGGTTCATTCCCCCAGCGGACGGCAGGGGTGCCCGGAAGGAGCCGGACTAACGTGCGAGACGCGTCCCCAGTCTCCGAGTGCCTCATTCAGTAGGGGCAGAGGGATGGAGGGGCTGGGGACCACCTGAGGATGGGGACATCTCTTTCCCATCCCGGGCCACTTCAAGCTCTCAGGAAAACCTTAGCTTAAAGAAAGCGCTCTGCAGCTGGGGCCGAGCGCGCGCAAGCCGGGAGCTGCTACCCGGCTCACTGGAGAGACAGACGCCCGGCGCAAGAGGCGAGTCGGGCCAGGACTTCCCGAGGTGTCCACTCCTTCTGACAATGACCACAGCCTCTCCATGCTCAGTCTCTCTGTACCCACCCACCCCTGTCCCCACGGGTGACACCCACAGATGTCTTGTTTTGTGTTCGCTTTGGGCTTCCAACAAGAGACTCAGAATGGGCAGCTCTGTACGGAGCCAGTGTCCTCTAGAAAAAGACCCGAGTCTCAAGGAGAAAATTGGATTTTTGAAAGCCAGTTGGTAAGACCAAGATACCTGAGGTCTACCGGCTGGACCTCCTGCCCACGAAGATCAGGGGTGAAAGGGACTGTGGCCACATCAGGGAAGAGGCTATGTCCAGCTGAGTGGAAGTTGACTGCATGCCAGTTTTTCTATGGCATACAGGTTGTGTCTGGCAAAAGAGAGAGAGAGAGAAGGTGGATCTTGCATTTATTCTGTTGTTGTGAACTTTGTATCCCAACTTCCAAATTGCAAAACAAAAGAGTTCTGTGGGAATTCAAAGTGTCCTGCAGCCTTCCCTCACCCCAGTTCTGGGAAGGATGAACCAGCCCCAGCAGGTCCTTGTCAAAGCATCCTCAGACTCTTTTTCCAATACAGGAAGAGAAAGTGGCCTTTGGAGGTGTGAGTCCCTGCCTAGAGGAGGAAGGAGGGAGCTTTCCCTAGAGCAGGAGGGCAAAATGGCTGAGCCTCCCTTGAGCTTCAGAAAGGAATTGCCAGGCAGGCTGCAAACAAAGAAAGCGCTCTGTCTCCAGCCAAGTGCTGGCTTGGTGGCCAGTGACTAGAGGACAAACAGTGAGTCCTAGGCAGTAAGACACAGGCCAGCCTGTCCCCACAGCCTCTGTGGAGTGGGGTTCCCTGAG